AATAGAGGTTTCCATCCTGAGCCACGTGAAGAAACGGTGTACCTGGCCAGGCCATATTTTGGTGAAACATACATACCTGATTCACACCATCCAACACAAATTCAGAAAGATTAGGAACCTTTTAAAATTTAAATGGCGATGGAGGTGGCCCAAAGTGTTTGCAGTTGCAGCCTTGCAGGAAGAGTCTATCAGTACACATTCAGATTTTCAAAAAAAAAAAAAAAAGGAGAAGGTAATGCGTACAACAGCTTTATTTAGGTTGTATGGATTAATATTTTGAAAAGATGGTTTACCTGGCAGACCCAGACCCAGACCCCAGGGCCCAGTCTGCCCTATCCTACAATAGGATGATTAGAAGCTACCCTTCCCTATCCCTTCAATAAATTAATAATTAATTAGGATTTAGGCTAGGCCAACAATGAATTATGATTTTTAACCCCCAAGGATGGATTAATTACTTTTTAATCAAAAGATTTTATATTGGCAAGTCTGAAAATGATGCACAGGTCAGATGGAGACATCTGATTGATTTCTTGTGTAGGTGGATCCCGGGATGATAGGATTTTGACTTTTGAAATTATCAATTATGTAGCAGGTATGGGAGTCCGAAGGGTCTCGGGTTTGTCCTGCGGCGGTGGTTGCAGGAAACTCAAATCTCCACTATCCCATGCTCAAATCTCCATTACACCAACAAGTTGGTGTTGTCCATCTCCACGAGGGGGTGTTCGTTATATCGTTTTGACTATTAAACCTCATCGAATCAAATTGTAATTAGCGGTTTGGTCTTAAAATGGCTTGATTTAATTTGAGAATTCTTCAAATCGTAATATTAAACATTATATAATGTTTATGTTTAAACTATGAATTAATATTTCATATATTATTGTTGTTGTTTGTTTGAATTTTTTAATTTATAATTTGATGTCTAAGGAACTCTTTATGTTGAGAAAGTGTGAATGTAATTTATATAATAATATTAAGTGATATTTATTAATATTTCAATTTGATATTTGAATTATATTTGTCATTTATGTGGCTTAAAAAACATTTGTTATTTACATAGGTATGCATGTTATTTGTGCTTTCTAATTAGGTTAAACGTAACAGAATGGCTCAAAACTATTGCAAAATGGACCAAACCATAATAGATTGATTTGGTCTAATTTGGTTTATTCTATACTAAAATAGTTTGGTTTGGTCTGAGAATTTCTCCAATATAACTAACTGGAAAACTTTTGAATTGAGGCACAGTCAATTAGTAAAATATTCCTCTTAGGACTTTGTCATTTCATATCTCTAGGAATCCCTGGAAGATTGGGTATTTGAATTTCCTCACATAAAATTCCTCTAAAATCAGAGTGAATCGAACTACATAATTTTTAGGGATTGCCATCGTCACCTGCATGGCGGCTAACGTCATCCTCCGACAATGGTCTGACATCAACAGTTCCTCTAAGCAAAGATCAATTGAAGAAGGTTTTTGCAAGAGCTTCTAGTTGAAGGATTTTGTTGAGAGAGCAAGAAGAAGAGAAAAGGAAGGGGAGAGGGGGGGGCAAAGAAATGAATGGAGGAGAGTGTTACTCTTCACTCTCTCAAACATGAAATTTATGTTATAAGAGAGAAATTACATGAAACTATGAAAGCCCTCATATGGGTGCCCAAATACAAAAAACAGGAAATACCAAAAAGACCCTTGCCTCATACAATCTCAATAGGTCCCATATTGGGGACCCAAGACAAAGCCCAAAGCCAAACAATGTGATTTTTATTTTTTTTTTTGGGTGGTGGGGAGGGGGAGGGTGGGGTTGAGCATATGTGATTTTAATTTTGTTTGTTGTTTGAAAGTTTGATGGAAGTTTTATTTATTTATTTTATTAATATTTTAATATAATTTGGCAGGAGAGGGGTGCAACTTAGCAGTTAGGTTTGGATTTTTCGTCTTCAGCCCTCAGGCTGGGCCTGGGCTTAGTCCTCAAGTAGCCCAAGCCTGACTTTAGCACGATCCAAGTCCAACCAAACTATAGACTTACTTGAACACTATATACATATGTAAACACATGCATGTAAGCATATATGCAAAATATGTAAATTTCTCTAATTAAAGATTTAAATCATTGATATTAAATACATTCATACAAATTTTTAATATATTGTGCCTAATAGATCCGCCTAATCCCAATTGACCAATCCAACCCAGCCCAACCCAAAAATGTCAAATTCCAGTTTTAGCTAGGTCCAGATTGGATTGATCGGACTTGATCTCAGACTCGGTTTGAACTTGGGCATTAGCCATTAAGTCAAATGTTAAGGCTGTGTTTGGTTGCAGTGCAATTTTATTTGCACCGGTAGAAATGCATGGGGTGCAAATGAAAAAAAAAAACACAAAGTCTTGTTTAATTTTTCTTTGGGTTTTACATTATTTTTTTTTCAAGTTTTAATTTACTTATTTGTACTGCAATCAAACAAAATAAGCTAAAATTTGAAACAAAAATATGTCAAAATTTACACTTAAATCATCTGCAATGTTGTAGTTTTGCATCAATGCAAATTTATTTGTACTGCAACCAAACACAGACTTAGGGTTGGACTGAATTGACCTTAAACCCAGTCCAGGCCGCCGATTTGCACTCCTACGAATGGGGGGAATTGCTCAAACTCAAAAACTCGTCGGAGTAGAGACCTGGGATCAAATCCCGCTGCCACCAGGGGTTAGGGGGGGTTAAGGGAAAGGAGATGGACTACCCCATGAAGCAAAAAAAAAATGCAAATTTCAACAAACAAAGCAATCCTTTTCTGACGTTTTGTATATGGACCCGCTGGTAGGGCAAAGCAATAGCCAATAGGTGATCAACGTCAATTATATCAAGACTAAAGGCACCAAAGATCTGCCACTTGGGATTCGATGCGTCTGGTTGGTGGAGATAACAGTTACATAGGTCACGTAATCAGGAAAATCCAATCAAAAGTATCATAAAATTCGGACCCTCCTCCTCTTCTTATCCTTTTAGTTGAAGGTCAGGTCCATGGAAAGCTAGAACCATTGAGATTTTGGATTCCCCTGGTCACTACCTCCATTCCAGGAAAAAGGTGGGGAGAAAAAAAATAAAGGTGCTTTTGTAAATCTTCTGGGCCCCCAATTGCATCTCAATTCTCAGCTCAACCACCTAAAAAATGCTATCTATAGTTGAGAATTTTCCGGTAGGTTGGCTATAGTTCTAGTCAAGAAGGCCTGAGACTAGCCAGAGTGTGAGTTCCGGATTGGCCAGCTAGCCCACATATTCAGAGATAAAAAAAGGAGAGTGGGGGTTTCAAGTTTGAAACTTTGAAGCGTGAACACCCCCCTCCCCCTCAAATTCAAAAGGCTAGTAGAATTGATTAATTAAAATTAAACATCTAATAATTTTATATATAAACGCTCACCCAAGTTGCAATTCACAATTACACAGAAGTTTGGATCTTATGGTTGACATAAAATTGAGGTTGTATCAGTATCATTTAAGTATCAACCCACCAATGGGTGATGGGTGACCCCACACAAGTAATTAGAGTGACAGCAGCATCCATCAATCATCATGATAGAATGGATGGTCCTCCTCCGTTGTCAAGCTCATTACCCTAAATTATTTCTATTAATCAGTGGGGAATAAGTTGAATCTGTGTGTGTGTCTAATTTGTCACATAGTGGGGAGCTGCCCAGTGGGTCAAGGTCAAATCGCATAACCCACTCGGTGTCGGTGGGCCTTCCCTTACGCAACGTGCCCATTATTTTGTATAGGCTTTGGTTGGCAAAATTCTGTCGATCTACTTTTCATGAGAGAAGAGCATGGCCTGCCCAATCAAAATAAATGAATTTCTTTTTCTTATGGTGGTGGGCCAAGAGCCCAAGACCCAAGAATATGTCCGACTTAAATTTACATTACTTTTAGCCTTTGAGGATACATATTTGATTTGCTCAATTCTGTCTGACTCCATTAATCGTTTTATTCACTAGTTTACGGATCCAAAACTTCAATGCTTCATGTATCTGATTCAACAACCATTTCATTCCTTCTAACCAAAACACAATTGCTTATATAAGCATAAAAAACATTTGACTTAGTTAACATTCTTAAGAATTGAGCAACACTGCAATGGACACCACTATTAAAATTAAAATAATGAAATCTATAACCATATTTCCTGATTGCTATTTTTTGGGTAATGCAATTTCACTACTGATTTATTTCAAGTGTTCAGTTTGTAATTCATAAACTGACTTACTATAAGATTTTATACTAGACGAATGTACCTTCATATGATCCACTTAATTGATGGTTTAAGGTCTCAAGTCAAGCTGTTTTTTTTTTTTTTTGTTTGAAAGATAGGGGGTCTAAATAGATCTTCTACATGGATTAGATATAGAAAACAATAATTGCTCCAATTCATGCAATCTGCTATCTTTCTGGAAAGCCAGGATTCAATATCTGGAATTCTGATTGGATGAGTAAGTAAATTAAGAGGAAAAAAAAAGATGTGGCTAATGCAGTAAAGATAGTCTGGACTGGATTGGAGATGTTTTATGTTGCGACTGATGAATCACAGTCTCGTTGCTTACGCGGTTCCCGAGTTTCTCCCCTCTTTTGTTTATCACTAGAGACTATATACTATATTGTCATCGTCATTATCAGAAATCTTCATCTTTATCTCATAACCCTCATTGGGTACACACAGGAGGGCTTTCGAAGTTGCCCAACTTACCGCACAACGACAACCGTTGGATCAAAGTATTCAGCCCAGAGCAGAGGTTAACACTGTCGTCACCTGCAACAACAATTCCAGTATTGGAATCTGTAACTCTAAATTAACTGTGCAGCGCTTGTGTCTAAATCTTCTAACCATTCTCTTCAGGTGGACGGTTGACTCCTAATATTGCCTCTATATATATAAATGTATTAGAGAAGAAGAATTGAAAACAAACACCAAAAGAAAGAAGAAAAGTAGAAGAGATTAATGGTAGGAAATGGCTCATCAGATATCTGATGAGGAACAACGATCATCATCCGCAACCTCTTAAATTTCCGCAAGCTTTCCGATAGGATAACCAACCATTTACATGAACTCTTTTGATGTGTATTTAAGCCTTTCGAGAGTCGTGACTATTTATATATAGAATAGGTGAGAAGAAAAAGGAGAAAAGAAAAAGAAAAACTATGAACTATGTGCATGCATGCAGATGCAGAACTCAAGATAGACACGCCCAAGTTTGAAACTTCAAACTGTGTTCAACTAGAGACTTCATCCAGGAGCTTATACCTTCGAGCCTTACCTCTAAACACTTGCTTTGTCACCACGGTGTTCGATATCTCCTCAGCTGGTTTTGTCCTTCTATATGTTTCGTCCAAGCAACCCCTCGGTACGATCTTCTTGCGCGCTGCCGATGATTTCTCCGGCAACTTATGTTTCTTCATGGGATTGTGAGGATGCAGATGGAGACTGCTTCTTTGGACTTTCGGATGGATTGCTTCTTCCCTGATGTTGTTCTTCACGTTCTTTTCATCATCTTCACTGCTGTTGTTGGTATACGGAAGAGAGGGATTCTGCTGGGATGCTTCAATGTTGACTCCCTCTTTGTTAAGACACCAATTGCAGATTCGATACAACTCGGCTTTTGGGTAGAGATTGCTACAGTATCTGCAACATTAACGATTAACAAGGCAAATTAAGAAATAAGTCTGGATAAATGCGGTAATCAACAAAGGAAGGAAAACGAGACATGTTCTGGTTAAGGTTTTCTTTGATAATTTCTCTTTTCTTTAACCTGTGCTGAAATCTGAACTGACAAACTTTGCATCGGAAAAGCTCGTCAGGCAATCCATGATCTCCACACATGCAACAATCAGTGGAAATGTTGGGCGATGATGGTGCAACGGCTGCTTGGCTTGTCATAGTTTCTAAAACCAGTGACCGAGAGAGAGAGAGAGAGAGAGAGAGCAGATGATGGTCGATGGAGGGGAAGGACTCTATACAGAGAGTTAACAAGTTCTGCGTCGCAATACAAACCAGACATCCCAAATAGGCTGGCAAATACCAACATCTCTTTTTTGGGTTATTTATTTATTCATTTGTAAACTATTAATTATTTTTTTGATAGATTTGTTTTAAATTATTAATTCGGGTTTCATTTTCAGCGCCCCACTCGTGAGTGAGAGTGTAATATAATAAATTTCTATCAATAAGATAATACAATACTTGAGGCAAGAGGCCAAGACCAGAGTTGTTTTTTTTTTTTTTTCTTTTTTTGTGGGGGTGGGGTTGGGATTCCTTTTTCCACTCTCTCCTTTTAAGAGTTTATCTCTGTGGTCATCATCATCATCAAAAAAATAAAATAAGACCTCCATTCTCTTGTATCTGTTGGCTTGGCACGGGTTTTAGGGACACGTCAGCTCATCCCGTGGCTTTACTTTCCTGGGTGAATGGAGGCCATTGAATTTCTTAATTGTTTATGTAATCAAGTGGGATAGGGAAAAGGATGTCATCGACACGTGGAGAAGGCCAGCTAGACTGTCAGTTGCCACGTAAGGGAGACGGGACCAGAATGTTGAAGAACGCAACAACCTCCTTCTTGGGCCCTGAGCCAGCTGCTGCGGCCTGTCTTTAAAATACCAAACCAATATTGGCGCCTGTCGTACTTATTAATTATTATTCACGGCAGATGTTTCCAATGCACGGTGGTGAATGTGCCTGTAAGGCGCCCATTTTTTAGCAGCAGATCCTGTAACTGTTCAAACACCCAGTATAGCCTAATATCTCTCGATTCAGTCAGTGCAAATCCGTTCGAACACCCATTATAATCTTACATTGAAAATATCTCCTCATGAAATAAACATAGGAGTGTAGAGATGTTCCTAATAAGGTTCAAAATATCGGAAATATAAGGTGTATTAGAAAGGTAATTTTAGGAGATATATTGAAATACGCTTTAGAAATATATAGATACAGACAAAAAATCAAGATATGCATGGACATACTAGAAAATCAAAAAAAAATCTTTAAAAATATGAATATCAATAAAAATGAGTTTTATGTGATTATAACTAATTTATTTAAACATGAAAACTATTCTTTAATGATTTATATAAAGTATCGGGATATAATTAGTAACCGTTGAAAAAATAATAGAAAAACTAAAATGTATGTGTGTGTATACATACTAATATTTATTAGTTAATATTTGTTATATATATATTTAGATAATATTTATTATGTATACTAATTAATATATACCTTAATTTTTAATAAATAAATATAATTTATATTCATCTTGTTATTATATAAGTATTATTAATCAAATTTTAGCATTTGTTGGGAAACCTCCACCAAGGCAAGAAAATTACTTTAATATAAAAAAAAAACATGTTGTTTTAATAAGCAATTAAGGTTGGCGTAATGGTTAATTAATTATTGTTGTAAGCAAATGACTTGGGTTTGAAACTTGTTACCTTTGATTTGTGCTTTTTAACAAGTTATTTGACTTAAAAAACATTTAAAGAGATATTAATTGCCATAATTAAAGGTAACTCAAATGAGCATTTGATTAAATAATATTAGCATTTAGTGACATCTCAAACTTTAAGGCTTAATTAAAATTGATATTAATGAGAGAGAGAAGAGATAAATTAAATTTAAATTTAAATTTGATAGGAAAATTAAATTAATGCGTATCCGAAATGATCCAAAGCCAATACATACTTGAAACGGTCCGATATGAGGTTGATATGGACGAAAAAGTACGAAACCATCTAATTATACATGTTTAGTGTATCGTAACTCTTCCGAAACGATACATATCAACCCGTATCGGCCGATACATTGCAAAATTTAAAACCTTGATTCCCAGTACAAGGCTGTAAAAGATATTCAAATGGGCCTTGCATTGACTAAAACCGATCTCGTGGTTTAGTGTAGTTGAATGAATATTTCCTCTATACAATTGGGATCTATTTTTCACATAGGGTGTTTTATACCGACCTCACATGCATATCTCATCATGCATTGAGAATATCTCTCGTAAATAATAACATATAAATACGGGAGATGTTTCCAATGCATGGTTGGATGTGCCTATGAGATCAGTGTGAAGTGTTCTGTGTGAGAAGCAGATCCGATCTCCCCTCTATAACCCCATAACAAGCAACCTGAATCTGCTCCTCACACATAGCACTTCACCCAGACCTTATTTACAGGAGATGTTCCCAATGCACGGTGAGGTATGCCTGTGAGGCAGTGAGGAGCAGATCCCACCTCCATAACAAGTAATAAATAATAAAATAGAATAAGGGTTCGACTATGATATAGAAAAGATATGATATCCGAAAAACAATTGACCAATAAATAAGAATCATAAATATGATAGGGATATGCTATTATTTATCAAAATTCATGGATGGATTTTGATTGGTCAAAACTCTTTCCATATTATATATTTTCTGCATCATAGATTTTCCCAATAGATAAATAGCTAATAAGTTAGCGCAGGTGATGGTTTTCTGATTACCACAAACGCCAACAGAAACGTGTGCACAGACAGAAGTGAGAAGACTGTTTTCTGTTGAGCACTCCATTCAACGCCGACACAGAATTGGGAATCGCCTAACCACCCATAAACCGACGCAGATAAGTCTCTCCTTATCCTGTTCGTTCATATCGTTGGTTCCCAATATTAATTGTTTCACTCAGACAAAGTTCAATCATATTGAAATCAACCCCAATGCGTGTCGTCGATGAATTGTCCTTCAGATTACATAGTACCATTGAGTATGAAGCAATAATCAAAATGACTGTTATATGGACATGTAAGGAGGGAGATAGGAGACAATCACCATCGACTAGCTGTTTAAGCAACAGAACTGCACCAATGCGAACGATTGCCCACATAATTAATTAGAGGATATATTTCATTGTAACTAATGACTCAGACTGGAGGACTGTTTGGTCATAGCTTCTGAGGATCATTGGGCGGTGGACCACATTACCTCTGATTTATTTTAGTGCAAAAAAAAAAGACATGAATATATGATTTAAGTTGGGGATGGGTTGTGATATCTTAGACTCCCATGTTGATTTTAGCATGGTTTTTAAAATCAGACCGGACCAGATGGTTGGATCAGAAAAACTGGCAATTGGTCATCTGACCAGTTCCATTTTACTTTAAAATCATCATTTTGACAAAAAATCATTGATTTGGTCAGCAACTACTGATCTGGACAGTCAAACTGTTCGAACTTTCCAACGGTTTTTGGCAGTTTTTTTTGTCAGAACAATCCACTAGTTTGGTTTGAATGGTCAGACCATTCGACCCAGGAGCTGGACCCCTGAACAGTTTGTTGTCCGGTTCAACTTTAAAAACTTGAATTTTAGTGTTTTTCAACCAAATCCATGTCCTCTTCTTTTACAATTAAATCTATTTAGCAAGCATAAGAAACCCGCATAAATAGTTAAATCTATTTTCTGCCTATCGAACTCAATCAAATTGCTATTTGTACTCTAGTTTCCATTTTTTTTTAATTTAAACTGCGTTTATTTCAACACAAAATCGGTGAAAAATTTCAGGCCGAAATATTGACTCTTACAAAATTATAATGGAAGCATTTGCTATATATCAGAATAAACTAGAAAAAGCAAAAAACCGTTTTTTTTGGGGGGGGGGGGGCTGTAAAATGGATAGGACTCATGGGAGTAATAGCTTAAATGTTTAAGTTTGAAAAATCCTATATCTTTACGGAGAAAAGATGTAAAGGGGGCAGAAAACAATTGTTTTTCCATGAGGGTAGAAACATTATTAGAATGCATATTAAAATAGCAGTGTCACAGATAGCAGAAAACAATTGAAATTTTATAGAGGTTACTTTAAAGTAGCAGTGTCACAGATAGCATTGAAAAGCAATTTAGAATGCATATTAAAATATGCTTAGGAAACACATTTAAATAATGGAATGATTAGGATAATTATGAATTCACTAGAGAAACTTAATATTGCTAAAAGGCCTCATTTTGTACCATATTTTATAAGGTCTAGCATTCGTGATAATATGGCGAGGTGCCAACTGGCTAGCTTGTAAGGTCTCTGGCTAGTTCTGGCATAAGACTTGGGCCATGCTTGTACCCGTTCAAAGAAACCAAATCTTTTACTATAATTTATGATCAAGTTCTATAAACACGCAAGCATGCAAGCGCTCCGATTTTTAATAATATAGGTTTGTAGCATGAACAGAGAAATGACACTGCATGGAAGATGAACAAGCATTCAAGTGCGTGACCAAATAATCGTCCATTCATGTCAATAAACGGAAAATCAGGGTTTTTATGCCCACATAGCAACAGAAACAAGAATTGTCCAATTGTACCTTAAGTAGAGGTTACTGAATTTAAGGCTGCAAAAGCGAGTCAAAATTGAATTGGATATTAACCAGACACAAAGTTGATCAATTAATACTGGGATTCGAATCGTATCTTCTTCGAATCTTACCAATTGGATTCAATCTCATGTAATTGTTAATATAATAAACTACAAGTAACTTATTTCGTTATTTATCAAAGAAACAATACAAATAACTTTGGCATCATATATCATGCACAAAAAGAAAAAAAAAATAAAAAACTTGAAAACGACTGACACTCGAGCACGAGTATTTAGTAAATGGGCGCCACATTCAAAATAACTAGTATGCAGGTATAAACGTAAATTCAGATATGCATTCAAGTGGATCCAGATAAGTATTTAAATTCAGACAAAAAACACTATTTGCAGCCCCAAAATAAACACGACTGAACAAGTTTTGCTAGTTTATAGGCACCTTATGAGAAAAATGATAATGATTTTACTGATTCAACATGTTATTTATATGCTTGACAAGGAGACTAAGAGCCCCAACCTCAACTATACAAAAGCTTTGAGACTATTTATAAACAGCATTCTACCATCAATTATATATATAACCACAGCCACCATCCCGAGTGGTTAGAATGCAGGCTGAATTTCCACCGCTTTTTGAACAGATTGACCAGTCCTGTCCTACCTCAACTCCCAACAGCCAATTGATCCATAGCTTGAGTTCGTAAGGCAAAGCCTGTTACAATTAAAAAAAAAAAGGGGGGTCAATCCCAGGTGTGTAATCATTATTGCAAGACTGAGCCAACCAGATGCACTTCATTACGCAGTGGGTAAGGTTTTAGTATGCCCCACTTGTAATTTTCCAATGTTTGGCTGACCAATCACCAACTTCAGGACTGTTATTTGTAATATTGCCAACTTGAGAAGGAAGGGCAAACTTTATTTCACCAACGCAAAACTGAGGTGTGGCAATCCAAAAAATCCAAAGAGATGCAATGTGAACTTTATTTCACCAATGTAACAGAGGCTAAAAGCAGTTCTTTTTCAAAGGGTTCATAGAAAGAAAAAACTCAGAAAAATGCCTAAACCATGGGAACGCAACTGAGAAAGGTTTAAAAGTACATAATGACCCAAAGGCTTCTTGATATCGTCAAAGAAAACACTAGATTTAAATGTCACTTTTTTGTTGATTGATCACTACAATGGCAGGCCTACAGCTATATGGTGTAGAACACAACATAAATTGTAGCAGACAATATTCAATTCCATCAGAATGAGTATTGTTAGGTGCAAATTACTACCTGTCAAATAAGGTTTAGCTCTGGGCACACTCAAATGGATGAAATGTTCCTTCAGCAAACTCATGCATCCTAAACCGTTCAAGAAGTTCAAAGGGCCTGTGGATGAGAAGTAATAAAATTAATATGATATTATGTATAAAAATGTTAAAAGACAAAGGGAAGAAAAATATACGAGTATGAGATTAATTAATATAATGGGGTGGCCCTATTGGACATGGTATTAGTCATCAATCTTTGTTCCTATACCCCCAGCAAAATAGAGTAGCTAAATGGAAGAATCACCATTTACTTGATACCGCCAGATCATCATTTTATTCATATGAAAGTTGCAAAGAAGTTTTGGAGTGATGCAGTATTATCTTATTAATAAAATGCCTATGTGTATTTTTAAAGGTCAATCTCCTTTTTTGTTTTGTTTCCCACTTTATCTCCATTTCTGTTGATCCCAAGGTCCTGTTCATTTTTCAGGAACCTACTTTCCCAGATAAGTGCACTTACTCATGTTCTTTTTTGCTTGATTTACCTGGGTAAATGTATCTTGGGGAAATTTTGACCATTTATTTATTTTTCATTTACCCTTTACTTGAGAAACTCAATTTACCCAAGTCTGAGAAGGGTATCACTTACCCGGGTAAGTGACACCTGGGAAAATCAATTTTGCCATGAGTCCCAGTTTCTGAAATAAGAACATGGGTAAATTGGTCAATGGAACCACAATCTCATTGACCAACTTTCCCCCCTTCAAACTCCCAAAAGCGAATGGAGCCCAATAGTGATTGGATATACTTGTTTCATTCATCATTTGTGGCTTGCAACTAACAAGTTAAACACAAGCTTTTAAATGTCTTTCTTGCCTATTCTAGAACCTAAAAGGACATGAATTTGCATACCTTAATGTTACTTTCTAGGGGTGAGCAAACGGGTAGGTTCTACCTGGAACCAAATGGAATTGACCTTGAACCAGCCTTGAACCGAAACTACCTAATCAGTTACATGGTAGGGTCGGGTTCCAAATTCTTGAAACCAACCCCCACCCACGCCGGTTTCAGGGTCTAGGGGTTTACCCTACCCGAATTTACCTGATGAACCGGCCTTGCTTGGCCTTGGTGGAACTGATCTTTTTGGAACCTGCCTTGAAACTGAACTTTCCTTGAAATAAACCCCAGAATACTTTTGGGGATGTGAAGATTTGAACCCAAACATTCATGGTTATAAAAGCCATGGTCTCACTTGACCATTGAGTTACTTAAAGTGATTTGATCATTTGTTTTTGTCAACAGCTGTTATTTTTTCCTATGTATAGTACCAGCAGTATCTTTTGCTCTCAGTTCTCTCTTCTCTCCTCTCTCTTCTCTCTTCTTCCATTATTCTCTCCTGCATAACATGGTATCAGAGTGGGGCTATCAGATCTGAAAGGAGAAGTCGAGTCAACAGTTTTTTCTTTCTTCTTCGCACCAGATTTCCAGATCTGCCGCCCTCATCTGCTGTTCGGCTGATTGAAGATCACACACACTGAAGTAACTTTTCTCTCTCTCTTACCTTTTTTTTTTTTCTGGTCGTGTGCCAGGGCAGAACCTGTACTAGGCCTGCCGATTGGATGTGAGGTGATCAGCACCTCTTTCTTTCCCTTTTTGTGGGGTTGACTGATCCCTGTGAAACTGTAGGTCGTGAGGACCTTTTTGTGTGCTGCAACAGCAGCTTTTATGGTGAACTGAAGATCAGAAAGTGACCAATACTTTCTGTACCAGTAGTCCTGTTGATGCGTAGGTCAAGAGATGACCTGTATGCACTGTGGCAACACTTGTGTTGAGCTTGTAAGTCAAGGGATGACTTGTTAGTGCTGTAACAGCACCTGTATTTTTTCCCTTCAAGTGTTGAATTTCTTTAAGGTTGTGTACCCCATTTAAGAGTTGTTTTTGAATCTGAAATCATGAGTGGTGAAGATTCTGCTACATCCGGTGTTTCCTCAATACTGAATGGAATGAGTGGGGATGTGGACCTATCCTTTCCCATGGCTGTTATTCCCCTTGATGGTTTAAATTATTTAGAGTGGTCAAGAGGGATCAAGCTATACATCATTGCAAGGGGAAAGATAGGTTATTAATGGGAGAATCAAAGAACCACATTCTGGGAGTGCTGAATATGACAGATGGAACTAGGAAAACAGCATGGCCATGTCATGGCTTTTAGTTTCTATGCAACCTCAAATAAGAAGGAATTTCATGTGGGCTGAAATGGCAAATGAGATCTGGGAACAAGAAAAATCAACATATTCGGAACTGCAACACTATGCAAAAATATACCAGCTACAGGAAGAATCGTATACTTGTAAACAGGGGGAGAGGTGTCTATCTATGTACTACTCAGACTTGACCTCTGTCTGGAAAGAGTTAGATCATTATCAGAGTGTGGACTGAAAGTGTGATGAAGATGCAAAACTGTACAAAAAACTCGTCTCCCAGCAGAGAGTGTTTGCTTTCTTACATGGTTTGAACCCTACATATGAATCTATCAGAGTCCAGATCCTACGTAGCAAGGATCTTCCATCAGTTCAGGAAGTTTATGCTCTTGTACAATCAGAAGGAAGCAGAAGGAATTTGATGTGAAAGCTGAAGTGTTGTAGCTTAAGCAGTAGAAGAGAGGAGAAGACCAAGAGATGCTATGAATGTCGAACTGAACTAACCCAGTCGACAGTACTATTATTTATATTAAAGTACAGTACAAKGTTACATGAAATGACTGGGATGCCCCTGATTAGTGATGGGACACCCAAACAACTTAAAACACTAAACAAACTTAGGCACATTAACACAGGCCCAGTACATAACAACTTTAAACTCAAATACAGGCTAATAAGAACTCTTATCAGTCGAACCATCAATGCATACAAAACCATTAACCTAACACTCCCCCTCAAGCTAAGCATGGATGTCAATCATGTTTAGCTTGCCAAGAAGGTCCATGAACTTTGYTGCAGCCAACTCTTTAGTCAATACATCTGCAATTTGCATCTCAGATAGAGTATAAGGAATGCAGAGTTCTCCCGAGACTATTCTCTCTCTAACAAAATGTCGATCAATCTCAGTATGTTTTGTCCTGCCATGTTGCATAGGGTTATTTGCAATGTTGATGGCAGCCTTGTTGTCACAATACAGTCTGAGAGGACCCTCAGCTTTAATGCCAAGCTCATTAAGAAGGGTCCTGAGCCATAGGAGTTCAACAACCCCGTGAGCCATAGCTCGATATTCGGCTTCCGCACTTGATCTAGCAACTACATTCTGCTTGTTACTTCGCCATGTGACCAGGTTCCCTCCCACAAATGTGCAATATCCTGAAGTTGATTTTCTTTCTCCAACAGAACCAACCCAATCTGCATCAGTATAAGCTTCAATTTCAATTCTATTGTTTTTCCTGAATAGAAWWCCCTTYCYTGGRCAAGTCTTCAAGTACCTGAGAATCCTTTCAACTGCTTTCATATGAGGGACCTTTGGAGAGTGCATGAATTGGCTGACAACATGTACAACATAAGCAATATCTG